AACCTAAACAGGATAATTCCGAGATAACTGCAGAGGAAAGGCCACCTGAGAATCAGATCACTTTGTCTATCCCACAGGATGACATTGTGCTTTCAGATAGCGCTGATCTAAGTTCGGAGATAACGGCACTTTCACCTAAGAGTGAAGGATCCAAAGAACTTCATACTGAGAATCAAATGACTGAAAATCCCTCTGATTTTGTGGATGGATCCTTGGAGAGCTGCAGCACTAAAGCTCAAGGTGGGTAAATGCTGATTTATTTCAGTCCTTGTTCAGGTTTATTCCAGGTCCACACACTCATGCATCACACGCCAATATGTTTGTCAAAGTCTTATTCCTAAGCAAATATGCTAAATTAGATTCAGTCCTCTTTAGGTGATTAATGGCAAAAGCTCCGCAAAGTTAAATGCCACATAGCTCACCATTATTGAGCTCACGGGGGTTTTAGCTTTTTTTGTGACATCCCGTTGTGATGCATTGCTGTTGTGACTATATGTTGTCCTGAGTCTTTATATTATTTTGAGGAAATTGTAATTCTAATGAAGAGTTATTAGTAGGTCTCTACGTGTATTTTACTACTGGAAAGAAAAGTATAATTTTTAGGGGACAGGATATGGCATCTGGAGCTTTTAAAGTTTTACTAACATGCTGACTACTAGAATAGACTTTCACAACCGGCCTTAGCCAATTTGAAGTTTAAGGATGTGAGTTATTGAAGAAAAACGGCACTCTGTGAATTGGCTGACATCACTGTTAAAACCTTTCCGTGTTAGCCAATGCAGACCCTTCCGGATGATCTAAGTGTTTATTTCACGGCAGGGCTCAGACCGATCCGGAGAAGGACGAAGAGCCTGTCGCTGTCCAGCAGGTCTCTGAAGACGTTCAGGTGTTTTGCCACCTTCCCAAACTGAACACACACACGTTGACACTGAGCATACACCCTGGGCGTGACACACCGTCCTTTCAGAAGAGTGTGGAGCAGCTGCTGCACTTGATTTGTCATCTTCATGCCAAGGTGAGTCATGCCACCTTCCTCTTTTAGCACGCTATCTGTGCTCACATTCGCTAAAACCAGGAGCTCTGCCGCTACTGAACATTGTTGGATTGTTTGTCTTTTCACTGCCCTCCTTTTTTAACCTTCAAACTTCATTTGTATAACCAGTGGAACACCTTATGCAATCATAGAGTCGGCGCTTGATAAGAACTGAAGAGCAGGTCTGTTGTTTCTTTTTCTGTTTTTTTTCAAAGAAGAGCTAACATTTTCTTTGTCTTGTTCCGTACTCTTGTGTGTGTGTGTCCATGAGTCTCTGTTAGTGTCT